GGCGTGCTGACCCCCCTGTCCCAACAAGTCCTCATCGACTGCTCCTGGGGCTTCGGGAACTACGCCTGTGATGGGGGGGAGGAGTGGAGAGCCTATGAGTGGATCAAGAAACACGGTGGCATCGCCAGCACCGAGTCCTACGGCACCTACAAAGGACAGGTAGGGGTGGCTCCATGTCCTTGACAGAGTCTCCAATGTCTTGGAGCTTAAAGCCACGGTGGGACCCACCCTGAAGGGTCAAAGGCACTAGCAGGCTCTGGAGGTGTGGATGTCACTTTGTCCCCAAGGCAGCAGGCTCCTGTGGTTCAAAGCCAAGCCCCAGGGCTCAGCTGGGCAGTTTCATCACTGTGTGCCTCAGTTTCTCTTCTCCCAAAACAGGGACAGGGCTCCTCCACCCATGGGTGGTGCCATGGGTCACTCCGTACCCTGGGGAGCAGGGATGGAGCAAAGATGCCTGGGGACAGGGATGTGGCTGCATGACACAGGCAACAGCCCCCCTGGGGCTTGGGGTGCAGAGCCAGCTCCCTGTGCAACTGAGAAAACATCCCCACCACCCTTGGCTTGGGAGGACAGCGGGAACGCTGTCACAGCCCAAACCCCAGATCGCTGGGAAGAGCTCCACGGGGAGCAGGCAGGGTGGGCATGGAGAGGGGGACCAGGGCGTGCTGCTGACAGTGTGTGTGTCCCCTGGGTGTGTAGAACGGTTTGTGCCACTACAACCAGTCGGAGATGCTGGCCAAGATCACGGGCTATGTCAACGTCACCTCGGGCAACATCACGGCCGTCAAAGCCGCCATCTACAAGCACGGCCCCGTGGCCGTGAGCATCGACGCCTCCCACAAGAGCTTCTCCTTCTACTCCAACGGCATCTACTACGAACCCAAGTGCGGTGAGTCGGGCGGCACACGGGGCACGGCAGGACCTGGGTGCCCAGGGAATTGCCAGGACAGCCAGTTCCCATCCTGGCAGTCCAGGGAAGGGTGGAGGGGACCGGCCCTGTGGTGCTCTGCAGCACTGTGGGCAGCCCTGGGAGCAGGGGTGCTCTCCAGGGTGGGATGTTCGCTGGATCCTCTTCAGACAGGGAGGTCACCAGGCAGGAATGGTCTCTGGACAGGGATGCTCTTAGGTCAGGGGTGCTCTCAGGATGCTCTCGGGTCAGGATCTCTCTCTATGGGTAAGGATACTGTCCATACAGGGTTGCTCTCCAGACAGGGATCCTCTCCACACAGGAATGGTCTTCAGACAGGAATGCCCACTAGACAGGGATGGTCACCAGACAGTAATGGTCTCTGGACAGGGATGCTCTTAGGTCTGGGGTGCTCTCTGGATAGAGATGTTCTCTGGATACAGGTGGTGTCCAAACAGGGATGCTCACTGGATAAGGATGCTCTCTGACAAGGATAATCACTGTACAGGGATGTTCTCCAGACAGGGATGCTCTTAGGTCAGGGATGTTCTCTAGATAGGGATGATAACTGGACAGGGATGCTCTTAGGTCAGGGATGCTCTCCAGACAGGGATGCTCTCTGAACAGGAATGCTCTCCAAATGAACCCTCTCCCACATCATTCCCTGCAGACAACACACCAGGATCTCTGGACCATGCAGTGCTGGCCGTGGGCTACGGGGTCCTGCAGGGAGAGACCTACTGGCTCATCAAGAACTCCTGGTCCACCTACTGGGGCAACGACGGCTACATCCTCATGGCCATGAAGGACAACAACTGCGGCGTGGCCACCGAGGCCACCTACCCCATCCTGGCCTGAGCCACCCCGGCTCTGTGGGGACAGCCCTCGGTGACACTCTGGGCACCCAGCCCTGGATCAGCCCCTTTGGTGGAGCCCCCAGGCAGCAGGAAGCAGGACAGGGCCACGGGGTGCTGGACACGGGGCAGGATGGGGACCCAGCAGTGGGCTTGCCAATAAAGACACTGGAAAAATACTGGATGGCTTCTACAGCAGGGATTCAACTGCTGCCCACCCAGCTGTGCCCCCTGTGCAGACCCCCGTGACACATCCTGCCCCCAGGCTGGTTTTTCTTGGTCCTGTGGGACCCCAGGGGCCTCCCAGGGAGGGGACCTGCCTGGCAGAGCCAGCTGGCTCTCACAGCCCGTCCCAGACACCCGGGGCGAGGGGAGCGGCTTTTCCAGCTCTGTCTCTGAGGTGGAGCACAAACAACCCCAGGGATTTCTGCTGAGATGAGAAATTCCTGGCGTGGGATGTCGAGGAGGGGGGAAGGCATCCACCCTCTGCCCCACTGCCCCGGTCCCTGTTGTGGCTGTGGGTGGGGACGTCACCGGGGTGTTTGCCAGTGTCACCCTTCACCCCCTGGGGCTGCTCCCCCTTTACCCTGTGGCCATGGCTCAGCTGGGAGCTCCTAGTTTGGGATCAAGCCATCCTGGAGAACAGGATCAGTGCATGAGGATACTAAAACAAGGTTGGGAAGTTCTCCCTGCCCTCAGCCTGGTGGTCTCCCCATCTTTGCTGGCACATCCTCAGGGCAGGATGCATGTCTGCAGTGGTGGGCTGTGATGGTTTGTCAGGCTTTTCATAGATTTCATTTTTTTCACAGTTTTTTCAGGCCAGATCATTAAATTTCCTAGGCTTTTCTCCAGTATAACCTGAGTATCTCCTGAATATTCCGGAATATCCTGAATATTCTTCAGTATAACCTGAATATCCCTCCCAGAGAAAAACTAGATAATTAAAAAACAAACCCAAAAACGGCGGGGGGGGGGTGGGAAGCAAAACAATAACTTGCACTTGGATAACATTTTGGAAGACCTGCTTGAGTCAGGCTTGGTATCACGACTTCAAAAGCTGTTTATCACTGTCCAGGACTGATTGGGATGCATCATCCCAGCCAGTCATTCGGAGGGTCAGTGCTCAGGCGCTTCATCTCTTGTTTTGCCTTCAGCACTTAAACCTCCACGGGTCCCTGGGGAGGTGCTGCAGCCCAGGGGGCACCAGCCCAGCCCTGCACTCCGGGGTGCAGCCCAGTCCAGCCCAACAAGACCCCGCCAAGCCCTTATCAGCTTTGTTTGGGGCTCGTTGTCACCTTGGGCCGGGGGCCAGCTGGACACACAGCAAGTGGGAGGGGTGAAGGCCACTCTGCACCGTGCTCCTCCCCGGGGCTGTTTTGCCATGTTGCTCCCGACACTTCATCTGCATTTTTTTCCCCCTTTTTCCAATGAAACCCCCTCTAACCGCAGTCCTGGCCTTGCCCTGATGGTGTATCTGTAAGGATGCAGGGTGCAAACAGCCCCCACCTCCCCATCTCTCTGTCTCCCATTTGGTGGGGTCACCTTGGCTCCTGTCCCACCCCAGGGGGGCTCTGGGGTGCCTGGGTGGGTGTCACTGCACCCTGTTGCCCCCCGGTTGCTGCAGATGCTCCCCCTGCTCGCAGCGGATCCTGGCTGGCAAACTGCCACACCGGGGATGGATGGGGGCACAGGGACACCCCCAGCACCCATCCCCAAACTCCCAATTCATGGGGCACCCACGGGGGCCGGGGTCCCACCCTGACCCCCCCTCCCCAAGCCCCACCAGCACACGGCATCAGCACCCACTCTGGTGTGGGTGGGAAGGGATGGGGGAGTGCCCGTGGTGGGACAGGGGGGCAAGACAAAGCCACGCCTTCTCCCTGGTCTCATCCCGGCCCGGGGAAGGGGGGGCTGTGCCCGTTGGCTGCCCGCAGCTCCCTGCCCACCCACCGGTGGTATTTAATCGCCCGTGGGTGCAGGGCAGCAGCGTGGGCAGGATGGAGGGGCTGGGGGGGCTGCTGGTGCTGGGGGCTGCTGTGCTGCTGGGTGAGCCCCTGCCCTGGCTGGGCTTGGGGGGGGAGTGGGTGCTGTGCCCCCATCCTGGGGTGATGCCATCGTGCCCCTTGCCCTGGGCACTGTGGTGGATCCTGGGCCGCTGAGGGTCTTTGCCCTGGGAAGGGGCTGCTCTGTCCCTGTCCCCATTCCTGGAGCTGTGGCAGGGCAGCGGGCAGTGTTCCATATGGGGGTGTATATTTGGGGTGTGCAGGGGGGGCTTTGGGGTGCCCCTGAGCTGGTCACACCCCCAGGGAGATTGGAGATGTGCTGGGGGGACTCTCGGTCAGCCAGAGGGTGGGTGGAGGAGCAGGGACCCCTGGCTTGGGGACCCCCAGTGTCTGCCCTGCCCTGCCGCCAGTACAGGCTCCCCTGGGTCTGTCCCCCTCTCCTGAGGGACAGCAGGCCAAGGACCAGCACTGCTGCCAGCCCCTGCAGATGGGGCAGCAGTGCTGGAGATGGGAAATCAGGGGGTTTGGGGTTTGTTTCTGTATTTCTTGCAGGAGCAGAGTGCAGAGGTCCTTTGGAGACACCCACATTTGGGGACATCTACCATGTCACAGGTACTGCTCAGGGACAGGGTGCCCAGCCCAAGGGGGTCCTGCACCTCCAGCCACCAGCTCCCACCTGACATGCCTGAGCCAGGAGGCTCCAATTCCCCCAGGAATGCCGGAGTTGGGGTGCTCGGGGCTGTGGGGCGCTGCTGGGGGTGACCATGGGATGATGCTGCGGGACCCCGGGGTGCTTCAGAGGGTCAGGGAAGGGGGACAGGGGATGCCCCTGAGGCTCATCCCCCACCACAGCCCCCAAGTCCTGCCTCTCTGTGCCCACAGGAATCATCAGCCTGCCCTATGCAGAGATCAGGGAGCCTTTTGAAGCCTGGTACAACCTCACGGGGGGGAAGAGCCGCATCGAGTACTACGGTGGTGGGTGGTGCAGAAGGGGGTCCGACCCCCGACCCCTCAGCATCCCCTTCCTTCTGCCCCAGCACCTCTGGGGAAAACACCAGGAGAGCCCCGAGAGGCATCACTGTGCCAGGCTTGACATTCCCTGCCCGCAGGCCAAGTGGTCACCTACCAGTTTGGCTCCATGGAGCCCTTCGGCGCCAGCTTCAAGGTGACCCCAGAGACCACGGAGACGGAGCTCAACGTCCGCAAGTGCTTCTGCATCAACGGCACCATCGGGGCCCTCATCGCCCCCCAGAGCGTCTTCCCCAGCCTGGAGAACTTCAGGGTGAGCCCGGGAACGGCCCTCCAGGATGTGGGATGGGGCAGGCAAAGGGAGGGACGAGGGCACTGCGTGGGTGAGGGGTGTCTGGGGGGTACCTCCCCGCGAGGTGGGAATTGGTGATCACACGGCTGGATGCGGCCGTGGGTGATGGATTGGGGGGGTTGCATTCGGCGTGGCAGGATGCAGGGTAGGGGTGGCATCACCGTGGGGTGCCCCAGCTTATGCTGGGGTGGCACCCTGGTCCCTGCCGTGTGTCCCCAGCGCGTGCGGGAGGAGCGGTTCCGAGGGCAGCGCTGCGCCGTGTGGCAGAACGTCTCCTACTGGGGGCACAAGAAGAACGTGTACACGCTGCGGGTGGGCAGCTCTGCCCGCGGCCCCGTGCCCCTGCACTACGAGGTGAGGGGCTTCAACAGCCTCCTGGGCTCCCACTATGACAAGTACGAGATCGACTATTCCTCCTTCAGCCACCGCTTCCCGCCCGGCGTCTTCCAGCTCCCCGAGGGTGAGCGTCCCTGGGCACCCACGGCCGGTGCTGACACCTGAACACTCTTAAATTTGGGCTTTTAGGAGGGTTTAGATTGGATATTAGGAAGAAATTCTTCCCTGTGAGGGTGGGGAGGCCCTGGCACAGGTTGCCCAGAAAAGCTGTGGCTGCCCCATCCCTGGAAGTGTCCAAGGCCAGGTTGGATGGGGCTTGGAGCAACCTGGGCTAGTGGAAGGTGTCCCTGCCCATGGCAGGTGGGTGGAACAAGATGAGCTTTAAGGTCCCTTCCAGTCCAAACCATTCCAGGATTCTATGAGCCTGGTAATTTTGGTGAATTGGTTCGCCTGGGAAAAAAGCAGGATGAGAGCTGGGGTGATGTGGGTGCTCCCCTGATGCTCAGGGTGCCGAGTGGGATGGTGGGAGCTCAAGAGATGGCTCTGGAAGGATGCGTGGATGCAGATCCCCCTGTATACACGTGTCTGGACGGGACGGGCAGCCCTGATGGTTTTGGGAGTCCAGGAGAGCCCAGCCCAGCCCAGGAGGTACCAGCACCGCCCATGTCTTGTGGCAGGGGTGCAGTGTGAGCAGTGGCCCACGGGTAGCCCCGAGCACCTCCTCGTGGCCAACCCCATGCAGGAGTTTGTGGGGAGGGGGCCGGACACAGACCACGTCCACCACCGCCTCTTCCACCGCTACAAGGAGCAGTTTGGGAAGAGCTACGGCAGCGAGGAGGAGCATGAGCACCGCAGGCACACCTTCATCCACAACATGAGGTACGGGAGGGCAGGGGGGCTGGTGGGGCTCAGGGATGGGGTACCCTGCTCCCCTCTCACAGACACGTGGCACAGGATGTCAGGGGACAGGCTGGGGGGTCAGGAACGGGATCTCCACTCAGCTCTTGGCAGGTGGTATAGGATGACAAGGCATGGGCTGGGGGGGATTGGGGATGGGGTCCTCACTCCCCTCTCACACCCCTGTGGCACAGGATGCCAGGGGATGTGCTGGGGGGGGGTTCAGGGAGGGGGTTCCCCACTCCCCTCCCGCCGTGCCCCAGGTTCGTGCACTCCCGGAACCGCGCCGCGCTCTCCTACACGCTGGCCCTGAACCACCTGGCCGACCGCACACCCCAGGAACTGGCAGCCCTGCGGGGCCGCCGGCGCAGCGGGGACCCCAACAACGGGCAGCCCTTCCCCACCCACCTCTACACCGGCCTCACCCTGCCAGAGAGCCTCGACTGGCGGCTCTACGGTGAGGAGGGGGCTGGTGACACCAGAGCTGTGCACACTGGGGTCCGTGTAGGGACAGCCAG